GGAGGAGTGGGTGGGGCACCGGCAGTCCCCAGTGTCCCACATCAGCTTGGAGGAGCCCCAGGAGCAGCAGCAGCAGCAGTTGCAGCAGCAGCAGCAGCAGCCACGGCAACTACAGCACCAGTAGCAGTACCAGTCAACGGTCAAGCTCCCGGCCAGCAGTCTGGTGCTGGGATGAGTGACTTCTCCCAACAATGGATTGAGTACTACCGGTCACAGGGTATGCACGCTGAGGCGGATAAAATTGAGCAGCAATTAAAAGCTGCTAAGGTTAGTAATGGGGCACATTTGATGAGAATATGACTGTTCCACACTCACCAGTGCCCTCTTTGCAGGTTGTCATATTCTCTGCGTGTTTCATAATGTTAGTGCTCTAATGACTTAACATCTAATTGCAGAAGTGGTCATGTGTTCGAATAATATACTTCTGATTGCAGAAGTGGTCATATAGGGCCAAGACTGCTGGAGACTTGAGAATTGAGCCTCATCAAAATTTTCCTCTAATTGTATTATACCCATATATGTATGTATGTGTGTAAGATGTTGATTCATGTGTGTGCATATATATATATATATATATTTGGTATATACATATGCTTTTGCATAATTTACACACACACACATTTGTAAAACACATCACCAGGACTGTAGAAGCCACTCATATCTAGTTCATTAGAACTACTTGGCTTCTGCTATTAGTGTTGCTAATGTCCTGGTGGCTGTGGCTAAACCATTTGGCTGTTCTAGGTTTTGATCGGTTGGGTGTCTGCATGGGGTGTGTGTCAAGGCTAGACTGCAGAACTGTAGCAAAAATATTGCAATGCCCAGTAGAGGTTTTACATTAAGGCTGTGAACTTTAACTGACTTGCCTCCAGCTGTTTTTAATAAGAAAAAATCAATAAGTTGTAGATAAAAAATAATTCTTTGAAATTTTTAACCATTTCATATTAACTGTATACACAGGCTCTTGATATTCCTGAGAAATTAAGTCATACTATCATGCAGTAGGTGTACAGTATAATGTACACCAATTTGAGAGAGTGGCTTGAAGTTTACAGCCTAAAATGTAGTGTTTTATTGTTTGACATTTTGTGTGTTAATGGTTTTGTCTTTTCAGGGAGGTGCAGGAGGTCCACCTGGAGGGGGTCCCGGGGCGCCAATGTATAACCCCACGTTCAATCAGGGATATTAGGCCACATAGATGTAGCACGTTGGGAAGCGACTTCTTCTCTTCTAGATGACAGGTAAGTTCGCCTCTAATAAAATTTCCTTTTCAGGTTTTGTCAGATCTGAGTCTTATTACTGAGGGGTTTATTGTTGTTATTATTTATTATTATTTATTATTATTATTATTTATTCACAGTTTGTTTATTTCATTTTCTTTTCCTTTATATATATTTTTTTTCATGTTTTAGATATTAGTAGTAATTACAGAGACTGTGTTGGTAAATAGAACTCAGGTCTGACTTCCTTTTTATCTCAAGTTAGAATAACAGTTTCATTTAACTGTTAGTGACACATTGGCAATATTACTAGTAGTAGCTTGCTGCACTATGAAGTACCTAGCTGACTGGCTGGTAAGGCCACACCCAACCTCTGAACCAACACAACCCCCCCCTCCACCACCAACCTTGGTTATGAGTTGCTGCCGCTGCTGATGCTGTAGATCATTGGAATATACCAAGTACTGGAATTGGCCTGTGCCACACGTCGCGATCATGATGGAGCATCGGTGGGGTCTCCGGCAACAAGGGGGTTCGGCCAACGTGGTAGGTCCCCTGGAGGGTAAGTGAGCCGTAGCCTGCCAAGTTCAAGTTGTTTCAAGCTAACCTGTATTTTTCTTACAGGGACTTTACTCCAAACTTGAGAGAACAATGTGTTGATTTGTCTTTTTCAGACCCATTTGTTGTTGCCTTGAAGACTTCAGTTGTGGGTTGTTGGCCTCAAAATGTATCATGTTGCGATATCTTATTCGTGATGTCATGATGTTCCCCGATGATATGAGATGCTATTCATAAGGATGGTATGAAGCTGCTGCATACTTCAAGATGTACAATGATTTTCGTGTCACTATATCTACCATAATTATTATAACTGTAAGAGGGTTCTTGTTAACTAAGCAATTATTTTCTTTTTCTTTTTTCTTTTCTTTTTTTATTCTTTTTTTATTAAATCCTGTAAATATGCCACATAGTTTACTCTTTCTATAATTATGCCTAATGTGAAAAATATACCTTGTACAAGATAATTGTAGGTTTATTGCTGTGCTAGGGGAAAAAATCTCATTGTTTCGATGGGGGTAGCTGGGGTGGGCTTCGCTGACCTCTCAGAAATGTGCATTCTTACTCTTTTAAGCCACGTACCATGTGCCTATTCTGCATATTATTCTCCACACAATCCCACTATTAAAAATGATCCCTTATTGTTTTTATATCAATAATGCAATTGAAATTTTTCATGCAATATCCTAACCTCCTTTTACAGGTTAACATTTCCGTGATATGCCATTGCTTTTTTTTATACATATATATATATACGTGTATATATATTATATATACAAGAAATCGTATTATTTATACCGTAATGCCATTTCGGGATATTTGTGAATGTCATGTGTTTTGTTATGGCCAATATCATTACAGGCTATTCAGGGAAATGAGTTAAGGAGGAAGAAGAAACACAATCACCACGCGACAAACAGGTAAATGTAGTAAATGATACTTTAGAATATTATTATTATGTCCATTTACATCCTCGTGGATGATATTGATACCGTAGTTTTATTGCTATGCCATTGTGGCCCCTGCTGATGGCTGGGGCACATTTATCAGTTACTATTTTATATTTTATATTTGCAATTGATGTGTTATTTTATATCCATATTTATTTTTTTTTCATTGATTATATTGAAGGAATGGTGCTCCTCCCTTGGTGTGTTTTCTCAATATGGCATTGACTATTACCTTATGGTTTCCATTATGAACCGAACCCATTTATTATTATTATTGATACCCGCATTATTCTTACCGATACCTGCATTATGAATGATATGACCTACATTCTGATTGTCAGTGGTGGTGAGAGGTTCAGCTCATTCCAAGCACATGGGTGGGAAATTGGGTGGGTAGGTCATGTGCACTTGTGTAGGCCAGGTCAGCAAAAGTGTGTTCCTTTATGTTTGAGAAAGTTGTCTAATTGCGTAGGTTAGTATTCCCTCTCGGTGGAAAGCACGTCTTAGAAATTATATTTTTATCGGTGGGTTTCATCAGGTAAATCCTCCCTAGCATTTTTAATTTTTCAATTCGTCGTGACATGAAGGTTTTTTCCACAATGAATTTTTGGAGTTTCACAGACTTGCTCAATTGCTGCAACTGGCCGGTGTATCATTGAGACGACCAATAAAAACCTTCCTAACTCCAGCCCTGTGTCCTTACTGCCCTAGCACTTTTGTATTGGTCTTTTAAAATTGAATAATAAAGATGTGTGATTCATTTTGTTTTATTTATCCATCTATTACTACAGGAAACATACCTATTCCTGCCTTACGAAGATTTTGGAGTGATGTCTTAAATATCATGTAAGGCCTATTGAGCATTTTGTGTCTTATATATTTGAAAAAAAAAAGATTTGAAACTCTATCTCTCTCTCTCTCTCTCTCTCTCTCTCTCTCTCTCTCTCTCTCTCTCTCTCTCTCTCTCTCTCTCTCTCTCTCTCTCTCTCTCTCTCTCTCTCTCTCTCTCTCTCTCTCTCTCTCTCTCTCTCTCCCTCTCTCTCTCTCTCTCTCTCTCTCCCTCCTCTCTCTCTCTCTCTCTCTCTCTCTCTCTCTCTCTCTCTCTCTCTCTCTCTCTCTCTCTCTCTCTCTCTCTCTCTCTCTCTCTCTCTCTCTCTCTCTCTCTCTCTCTCTCTCTCTCTCTCTCTCTCTCTCTCTCTCTCTCTCTCTCTCTCTCTCTCTCTCTCTCTCTCTCTCTCTCTCTCTCTCTCTCTCTCTCTCTCTCTCTCTCTCTCTCTCTCTCTCTCTCTCTCTCTCTCTCTCTCTCTCTCTCTCTCTCTCTCTCTCTCTCTCTCTCTCTCTCTCTCCTACCTCTCTCTCTCTCTCTCTCTCTCTCTCTCTCTCTCTCTCTCTCTCTCTCTCTCTCTCTCTCTCTCTCTCTCTCTCTCTCTCTCTCTCTCTCTCTCTCTCTCTCTCTCTCTCTCTCTCTCTCTCTCTCTCTCTCTCTCTCTCTCTCTCTCTCTCTCTCTCTCTCTCTCTCTCTCTCTCTCTCTCTCTCTCTCTCTCTCTCTCTCTCTCTCTCTCTCTCTCTCTCTCTCTCTCTCTCTCTCTCTCTCTCTCCTCTCTCTCTCTCTCTCTCTCTCTCTCTCTCTCTCTCTCTCTCTCTCTCTCTCTCTCTCTCTCTCTCTCCTCTCTCTCTCTCTCTCTCTCTCTCTCTCTCTCTCTCTCTCTCTCTCTCTCTCTCTCTCTCTCTCTCTCTCTCTCTCTCTCTCTCTCTCTCTCTCTCTCTCTCTCTCTCTCTCTCTCTCTCTCTCTCTCTCTCTCTCTCTCTCTCTCTCTCTCTCTCTCTCTCTCTCTCTCTCTCTCTCTCTCTCTCTCTCTCTCCCTCTCTCTCTCTCTCTCTCTCTCTCTCTCTCTCTCTCTCTCTCTCTCTCTCTCTCTCTCTCTCTCTCTCTCTCTCTCTCTCTCTCTCTCTCTCTCTCTCTCTCTCTCTCTCTCTCTCTGCCTCTGCTACTTTGTTCCAAAGGAAAGATGAAAAAATAATCACCTAGGACAAACATTTAATGTAATCGATGCAACTTGTCATTATATTCCTCTTCTTTGACAGCCTTACCTAACAACTTGGATCTCATTCCACACACACACACACCCTTTTTTTTTTTCCATTTCAAGTTTTGCAAACATGACAGAGGTCTGATTCTGTCATCCAATCAACATAATAACATGCCCCTCAATGATTTTAAGTCGTTCAGCTTTTATATAATCAACCAAGTACAGTACTTTTTTGTATCATGGCTCAGCCTTTCTTTTGTTACTGTACAGTCGACCTTCCTCGTTAATTTGGACCCCTTTAATCCGGATTTTGGATAATTAGGACAAAAATCTGAACAAACTTTTTTTTTTTTTTTTTTTAAGATTTGTGGGAATATTACCTCCTCACAGGACCTTAAGCTAAAATGCTGGTCCACCCACTGCTGGGATAAAACACCAGCGTCTTTTTTGAGTCAATCAACATCTCCACCACTAGTGTGGAGGATGCAACTTTTAAGCTTTCAGACATCGAAAAATATTTACCATTTACTGCCAGTAAACAATGGAAACTTAAAATTTGTACCAATTAGAAATGAAAAGTTGTGCAGTTCCTTCAGCAAATGAAGCTCACCAACCCAAACTGAACCTTACAACGTGTTTTTCAGTAGTCTATGTTGAAGTTCTTAGCACAGGCTAACTTATCTTATCATACGTTATCACAGTTCTCATTGATCTACACAAAAAATACCATAATAAAAACCTTTTTGATATTTCACACTTAATATATGCCCGGTAATCTACTTCAACCTCCCATTGTTTACAACGACACATGACGCACCACAACTGTTGAGTATCAGCTACACGGTACACGTGTTTTTCGAATTGTTTTCAGTTAAAAAACTGTTACATCACATGTATATTTTACCTTAACTGTGCCTGAATGAATATATTCTCGGAAATAAATAGTAGTTTTGCTGATACGTGATGTATTTTAATGTAAAATAGGATAAAATACATGACGAAAACAAAAGACTTTACCTAACCTTCCGATGTTCTAGAGAAGTTACTGGTTTTTTTAATAGTTTTTGGTTAAAATACTGCTATATTACAATGGTATTCTATTCATACTGTGCTTGATATAATGCATTCACGGAAATGTAATATTTTTGCTGAAATGACGTACGTTTTACAGTGGAAAGTGGGATCAAATCGTGACAAAAACAATGACTTTCGCTTTCTTTCGTTCAAAAGATGTTACCGTAATCGCTTTTCGATTGGTTTTCAGTTAAAAAAACTTGTATTACAATAATATTCTATCCTAATTGATTTGCATAAATACTACGATACCATATTTCTGAATATTTTCATTAAAATTCATCCAAATCTTTTTCCTTGTCATCGTCTGCAGCACCAAACAGCTTCTCCCAGTCCTCTCCTTGAACAGGGCTAGAGGGTACGTGTTTTTCGAATCGTTTTCAGTTAAAAAACTGTTACATCACACGTATATTTTACCTAAACTGCGCCTGAATGAATATATTCTTGGAAATAAATAGTAGTTTTGCTGAAACGTGATGTATTTCAATGTAAAATAGGATAAAATACATGACGGAAACAAAAGACTTTACCTAAGCTTCCGATGTTCTTGAGATGTTATTCGTTTTTTTAATAGTTTTTGGTTAAAATACTGTTATATTACAATGGTATTCTATTCACACTGTGCTTGATATAATGCATTCACGGAAATGTAATATTTTTGCTGAAATTACGTACGTATTACAGTGGAAAGTGGGATAAAATCGTGACGAAAACAATGACTTCGAAATATAATGCAATATTAACCCCTGAATCGGTTAATTCGGACAATCGGCTAAAACTGACCTCTTCCCCTATTAGTCCGAATTAACGAGGGTCGACTGTATACCCATGTGCATGTTTATGGTTAGTGTTTCTAAAAATTTTCTATGTATTCTGCTTGCAAGTTTCCTCTAATATTTGGCCAACTCCTCATCTACTTTTGCACTTGTATTGTCTTCGTATTTTTTTATGTCTGGAGTATTTGGATACAATCATATAACTGATCCCAAACTCAGTTGTGCTCCCATTTTCTCTTTCAACTAACTTGGGCAAATACATGAAAAATGCAGTGGTGTCCAGTACATATCCAGTGTGTTTTTTTGTTTGGTTTTACGGGGATTAGCCCACCCGGGCACAGGTCACTGACCCACATTTGGGCCTGGGGGGCAAAAATGTAATAATAATGATATTAATAACAATACCACTGTAATAATAATAATAATAATAATAATAATAATAATAATAATAACACTGCAGTGATGATAACAAATAACCGTAAAAAATAAAATAAGAAAAGATCAAGAGTGAGAAACAATAAATGTATGTTGTGTTGTCAATGTTAAGAGAAACAATTGAGACCCTGCAATTGTATGTAAATGAGGCAGAAAGTTAGCACTATTCCATAAGTAGCACTGCCAACCTTGCATCTCATTTTTCTTTTTCATTTTTAATACAGTATCTTGAACCCTTACTTCAAGGCTGCATATTCTAGGACTGCTCCCATTCCTCTTCAGGAATATCCATTTCACCTTAACTTTCACGTGACCACTTAATAATTTAGTTCTTTGAAGATTGCAAATACATTCAACTTGTTAATCACAAGCACCTTCACACTCCTTTGCAACTCTTTAGCATTGTACCGTCCATTCAATATTAATTTCATTTATTCCCAATGACAATTGAACATTCTATATCGCGTTTACTAATCCATCCATATTAGTTAACTTACATTTCAGCCAAATCTGTTTACCAACATCTGGTCTTAACAGTTACCTTCTCTGTTGTTCTACCACCACTTAATCATGTATTCCCCACTACTGTATTAACCTTCAGCACACATCTAACAATCTCTCGTTTATCGTTCATTCTTGGTACTGTGTTGTATTCCATATATATTTCCCCACAATCTCCTTCACTTCCCAATCCCCCACTCATAATTTCATTCTAGTACCTACTGTCACCCACTTTATCTCACAAATGCTTATAAAATAGAGGTTTTGTTAAGGAGCCACCCAAGAAGAAACTGAACAGGGTGAGACAGCCAAGAAAGCCAAAGGAAATAAGTTTTGAATGAATAACTGATGTATGTTGGAAAGTGGTGAATTTTACACTAACAACCAATCCGTGTGTTTTGAGCTTGGGAGTTGGTGGAATGTGAAAACCAATTGAAAGAGAAAATATAAACGATGTATACAGTAAGAGGCAGACAGCATGTGTAAGCGCCCACTGTATAGTACTATATGAATAAGTTAATAGTAGTGGTCAGTGTTGCTGAATATTAACTGAGTGCCCATTGTAGTGAACATTAACAAAGGTAAGTACCTAGTGATGTTAACTTTAGTAAATGTCAAGGGTGCTTGAACAGGTAAACTGTGATAAGTGTTCCTTGATGGAAACATTAACCCTTAAATTAATGACACTGATAATAATAATAGTAATAATACTAAAGAACCATAAAGAAATAAAAAATGAAAATATCCATATTGAGAAATAATATATGTATGTTGTGTTGTCAAAGTAAGATAAACAAATGAGACCCTGCAATTATGTGTAAATGAAGAAAGTCAGATAAGCAATCTGGGACTTGGTCAAAGTTTTTGTGAT